TGGGCACAGGGTGGAACAGCAGGCTTCATACAGCAAAGCCTCCAGGCAAACTCGCAGGTCTGCCTGAGCTGTCCACACGTTGCCCTGTCCCTGAGTGAATTCACTGCCGTGGGCACCCCTAAAGTGGACCCCGAAACATGAGAACAAGATGCTGGACTGATCTGCATTCGGTTCACGCAGTGCTGGACCAGATGCCTCGTGGGGAAGCTCACAAGCAGGATGTGAAACGTGGCAGCAGCCTCTTGCCCATGTTCCCCGGCAACTGGTGTACACAGGCATCCTGGCTCTGATATTGGAGGCTGCATACGGCCATGAGGACTAGTCCACTGAAGGTGTTCTCCTGCATGAACTTATCCAGTCCCTTTTTATAGTGACCCGAACTGGTGGCCATAAGAAGACTGCATGGAAGGGAATTCCTTGGCTGAACGCTGCAGCCCCTCCTTTCTTCAGTCCTGAATTTCCCACCCGTCAGCTTTATGGGATGACCCCTTTGGGCCCGAGGATTATGGAAGAGGGAGAAACATGTCCCCTGCTCCCCCTTTTCCACATCCTGTGTGTGCGATTCTATACACCTGCTTCCTGTCTCCCCTTGCTCTTTCTCCTAAATGTCGCAATCGTTCCATGTAGAGGAATCAGTGCAGCCGCTGCAGCTTTTCAATTGTACTTTTTGGGGAAAATGTGGAAAGGACAATACATTTCCGGTCAGGAAGCTTGATCCCTGCCCCTCCATCACCCCAGATTCCTCAGCTGGGGAGATCATTCGGCTGAAAGCTGCCTGCCTGCCTGTCTGCCCATTCTGGGGGTCATTCCCCCATGGACCCATTCCTCTCCTAGAGATGTGCCACAGCAGGGGCAAAATCCATCATCTGGAAATGAATAGAAAACGAAGCTGCCAAGATCACACTCCCCTTATCATTATTTCCATATGTATTATTGCTATTTCATTGCATTTATGTCCTGATTTTCTTCTTCTTGCAAGGAACCTGGCGGGGGGGGGGGGGGCTGCCCCACAGCAGCACATGTGGGGAGAGAAGCCATATAATTCTCATCCAACTCCCTTTGTTTCCCCTGACTCAGCAGAGGAGGAGGAAATGGTGGGGAAGGGGAAGGGGGCCACGTTCATTCCCCAGAAGCCCCTAACACACCAGCTGTATTCTGCAGGACATGGCGTCTGCCACTGCTTTGCCTCTGAAAGTGGCATCTGACTGTGAGATGGGCCACTTCCATCCACGGGAGCTTTTTGGTGCCAGTTCTGGTTGGAAGTGGCCGTGTTTTTGCCAAGGCAAATGTCTGTCACTTGGTGCCAGGGAAGCCCCAGGTGACCAGGGTCACATGTGCTCCCTGCCTTTGCTGAATAGCAAAGCTACCTCAAAACTTGACCTAACACAAGGCGGCCTTAACTCTGATGTTAAACTGGCAGGGAATTTGCAGCTGCATCAGAGGAATGAAGCCGTACTGTTGCTTGTTCAATTCCATTTAGTACAGTGGATAATGGAAAGAGTGGCAGTGCCGTGAAGGACAAGAGGGTTAGGTTTATAGGATTTTTTTTGGCCACCATTTTTCATAGCCTCCATGCAAGGCTGGAGCGAAGACGCAGGATTTTGCTAGTCACTGCCCGATCTTGAATTTTGATCTTGACCTCTTTCCTTCGGAAAGGGCAAGGAAGGCTGGTGCTTGAAGAGCAGATGAATGAAGCTGAGTTGCTCTGGCATGCCAAGTGGCAGGTGGGAGCATGAACAAGTTAAAGAGCGAGCGCTTTGCTTTGTCTTTTTCCATCAAAAAGAAACCCCTTTTCTTTTTGACAGAGGGAACAGCTCCCCCACTTGCTCTGAGGGAAGTTGTCCCTTAGTCCAGTGCCAAATGAGGCTTAGCGACTGGGTTCAGACAACCCAAGAAAATACACTCAAGGGTTGAGTATTGGTCGACCATGGGCTGTTGGACCCTGGGTGACTGTTGCCTGAACCCAGCTGTGCTAACGAGCCATGGCCTGTAAACCATGAACAACCCATGAAGAGCATCCATGCTTTGTCCTTGAAGAGTGAATGGAGGGTTGACCATAATCTGTTATCTTGGCTCAGTGCAGATAACATAATCCATGATTTGCCTTGGCATATGGGTTGTGCTGTCTGCTCAAGCTACTGTGGCGGCAGCATCCCTCCATGCTGCTCGCATCCAGCACTGGAGAGGCCCAGCTCAACTACACTCTGCCTGGCTCCCTTGGGGGGACCCCCACCCCAAATCGGCTCGGCTACAGGGGTTGGCAGGGACACTGCTGGACGCGGAGAGCCCAGCCACCTGTGAACCCTGCTCGGTCTTCTCTAGAGTAGGCCGATCAGTGCAGAGCTGCCAGTTGCAGCTGTGGCTCTTGACTGGCAGCTGGAGCAGTGTGGCGAACCTCTGACAGCCGCCCTGAAGAGCTACTTGGGCACTTATGGGTGGCTGTCACTGGCACGCACCCAGAGCCCGTCACAAACCATGGCTTTGTAGGAGGCGAGACGGAGGGAACTGGCTCTCTTTGGCCTGAAGAAGGGGAGACCCCAAGGGGATCTGTTGGCGACATGCAGGTATGTGAGGGGGTGTCACACGGAGGTGGGCCGAGACCTGTCCCCCCCCTGCAGAGGAGGGCAGGACGCACTCCAACGGAGCAAAGCTCAGGGGACCAAGGCTCAATTTGGATGCCAGGAAGCACTTCCTGACGGTTAGGACTCCGAGGGAATGGAATGGGCTTCCACGGGAGGTGGTCGAGGCCCCATCTGTGAGGGTGTCCTGTGAGGGCTGGACATGCACATGGTGGGCGTATCTTGAGCAAAGCCGGTTGGAGCTGAGGGTCAGACTAGATGGCCCGGGAGACCCCTTCTGACTCGCGCTGTTTGTATGGCTTCACAGGGTGGTTTGGAAGTCCCACAGCTGGGCTTACATGCCCCCCTCCTGGGGGGGGGAGGAGGGAGCAGAACCAGGTTTAGACCCCACTAAGCCAGTTGGGCTGGTTCTATCAAAGTATAGGAACAGTCCTTTCTAAATTGTTGTTTACGTGAGACCTTCTGCCGCTGACTGCAAGCTGGTTCTTCTGGAAAGGCAGGCTGTAACATGAAGCTCTTCCATTTCTATCAGCTGTGGCTCAAATTGGGATATAAATTCCTGCCACATTATGATTAGGTTCACGGGATTCTTTCCCCACTAAATGTGCCCAGGATTACAGCTGAAGCCATTTTTCTGCCAAGACTTACTATACTTCTAAATTGCTGTGCTTCTACCTTCATGGAATGCTTCAGATGCCCATCTCTCTCCCGCCCTGGTCTTAATTAAGATGCCCATCACATTTGATACCTGGAGTCAGAATTAGGCTTGGAGGCCTGCAATGAGCAGGGGCTTGAACTGATAACCTCACTGGCCCGTTCCACCTCTACTATTCAATGATTCCACTCAAAGAACTACTCTGAGCCCCACTGCTCAAAGCAGGAACCAAGGCCAAAACAGCCAAATGGACCTAGCAGGATTCAGGAAGATCCAAGGAAATGTGAGCAGCAAGCCATTTCTGGGCGTAGTGACTGATCCGTGGATTTGTCCCTCTTCCAATTTCCTCTTATAAAGGTTTCATAGATGCAGGAGTACAAGGGGGCAGTGTGCCTGGAGCAACCGGGAATTCACAGGCCACGATGGGACAAACAGCCATTTTTGACCAACAGTAGATGAAGAAAGAGCCGCTGTTACATTGTTTAATCTAGGGATGTGTGAGGAATCTGCCTGAGGGTGGGAATCCATCGGATTCCCTGGGCTCGGCTCCCTAGACTCTGGTCTGGTCTAGTCTACAGCAGTCCTGACCCCCAGCTTCTGGTGAGTGCACCCCTAGTCCAGTGTCAAATGAGGCTTAGTGACGGGGTTCAGACAAATTTTCAATTTGTTCAATTCCATTTAGTACAGTGGATAATGGAAAGAGTGGCAGTGCCGTGAAGGACAAGAGGGTTAGGTTTACATGATTTTTTTTTGGCCACCATTTTTCATAGCCTCCATGCAAGGCTGGAGCGAAGACGCGGGATTTTGCTAGTCACTGTCCGATCTTGAATTTTGATCTTGACCGCTTTCCTTCGGAAAGGGCAAGGAAGGCTGGTGTTTGAAGAGCAAATGAATGAAGCTGAGCTGCTCTGGCATGCCAAGTGGCAGGTGGGAGCATGAACAAGTTAAAGAGCGAGTGCTTTGCTTTGTCTTTTTCCATCAAAAAGAAACCCCTTTTCTTTTTGACGGAGGGAACAGCTCCCCCACTTGCTCTGAGGGAAGTTGTCCCTTGGTCCAGTGCCAAAGGAGGCTTAGTGACTGGGTTCAGACAACCCAAGAAAATACACTCAAGGGTTGAGTATTGGTCGACCACGGGCTGTTGGACCCTGGGTGACTGTTGTCTGAACCCAGCTGTGCTAACGAGCCATGGCCTGTAAACCATGAACAACCCATGAAGAGCATCCATGCTTTGTCCTTGAAGAGTGAACGGAGGGTTGCCAGGAATCAAGCTCCATGCACAACAATGCTTTGTTGTAAGCCGCCCCGAGGCTTCGGCAAATGGGGCGGCATAAAAATGTTTTAATTAATAAATAAATAAATAAATAAATAAATAAATAAATAAATAAAGCAGCATGCCTCACGTGATAATCGAGGGGGGGGGGGCGTTAGTTGTGAAGGCCTCCCCAGGAAAGGAGCCTCACGTGGCTGCCAGCAGTGTGGCGGCCATTTGGGCAGCTGCACCTGATGCTGAAGGAGGCAGCTGTTGCGTAACTGTGTGTGTGTGTGTGGGGGGGTGTCTGCCAGCGTTTGAGGACTTCCTCTCGGCTCGGCTTGCTTCAGAAGACAAAAGGAAGTCTCTGAATGCTTGGAGGGATGGATTTCAACATGGCCTCTCCCAACACTCACTTAATCAAGTACCATTGTACCAAGTTGACAGCGTGAGAAGATTCGAAGCAAATACCCTCACTTGGGGCTTCAAGATGCAAAGCCAGTATTTATTATGTGTTATTTTTATTTATTAAATTTAATAATAGACTGCACTACAGAGTTCTGCTAGCTTGCAGAATTCACCTTGAACAGGCAGTTATACTCTGCTCATGGCTTTCTGAACTCACATAGTCACTTGGAGGCAATGTTAATTCACTATAGGCAACCAGATAGATCCCTAAGACTATCCTTAACCTGGTGCCAACCAAAGATCATTGCCCACCCTTACCATGCTGATGGAAGTTTCCGCCGTAATTTAAGGCTTTATATATCTGGTCCCTTGTGTGAATTCTCTGCTGGTTATGCTGCTTTAGTCTACAAATATACTCTACTCTACGTATCCATATGCTTTCTCTTGCATTAGCATCTTTTCCAATGAAGGGATGTGTCCTTCAAACTGAAGATCTTCCCACCTTTATGGGATTCCTCCCTGTGTGTATTCTCTGGTGAGAACGAAGGTGTATACTCTGGTGGAAGCTCAATCCACACTCTGAGCATTTATAGGGCTTCTCACGTGTGTGAATCCTTTGGTGAGAATTGAGGTGTGTGCTCTGATTGAAGCTCTTTCCACACTCTGAGCATTTATAGGGCTTCTCCTCTGTGTGAGTTCTCTGATGTCTTTTAAGGTGTGGGCTCTGATTGAAGCTTTTCCCACACTCTAAGCACTTGTAGGGCTTCTCCCCTGTGTGGATTCTCTGATGCACTTTAAGGATTCTGCTGTCGCTGAAACTCTTTCCACACTCAGAGCATTTATAGGGCTTCTCCTGTGTGTGAGTCCTTTGATGAACATTAAGGCTTTTTTTAACACTGAAACCCTTCCCACACTCAGTGCATTTGTAGGGCTTCTCCCGTGTGTGGATCCTTTGATGTCCTTTAAGGCTTTTACTATCATTGTACTTCTTTCCACACTCAGAGCACTTATAGGGCTTCTCCCCTGTGTGAATTGTTTGATGGGATTTCAGGATCATGCTTTGACTGAAACACTTCCCACACTCAGAACATTTATAGGGCTTTTCCTCCCTATGGGTTTTTTGATGTATCTTAAGGTTTCCACTATTGCTGAAACTTTTTCCACACTCAGAGCATTTACTGGGTTTCTCCCCTCTGTGAATTTTTTGATGTATTTTAAGGTTTCCATTATTGCTGAAACTCTTTCCACACTCTGTACATTTATATAGCTTCTCCCCTGTGTGAATTTTTTGATGCAATTTAAGAACCACACTTTGACTGAAACTCTTTCCACATTCAGAGCATTGATATGGCTTCTCACCTGTGTGAATTCTTTGATGTCTTTTAAGATGTGTGCTATGGTTGAAACTCCTTCCACATTCTGGACATTTGTAGGGCTTCTCACCTGTGTGTATTCTTTGATGTTTACTAAGGTTTGAGCTCTGGCTGAATCTTTTTCCACACACAGAACATTTATAGGGCTTCTCCCCTGTATGGATCCGTTGATGTGCTTTAAGTTCTGGGCTGCGACTGAAGCTCTTTCCACACTCTGGGCATTTGTAGGGTTTCTCCCCTGTGTGGATTCTTTGATGTCTTTTAAGGTTTCTGCTATCGCTGAAATTCTTTCCACAAACTGAGCATTTATAATGGTTCTTGGGAATGTCAAATTTCGGATGCCAACTAAAGTCTGAGTTGTGATTGAGCAGCTTTTCACACTCCAAGAACTTATATGTTTTTTCCTTTGTGTGAATTCTTTGATGTTTAGTAAAATACATCTCCTGACTGAAGCTCTTTCCACATTCAGAACATATCAGCAGTTTCTCCCCATTGTTTTCTTCATAACATTCCTCCAGTACTGGAATTTCATGAAAGTCAGTCCCTTCAAACACAATAGATTTGTTTCCCCACTTCTGTTTTTCTTCAGCTTTTATCCTCTGCTCTTCATCCACTTCATTACTCTCCTGTTCGTCATCTGAAGGAATCAAAAGATACTATAAGAACATATGAAGAGTAGGGCTGGATTAGGCCAAAGGTCCATCTGGTCAAGCATTCTGTTTACACAGTGGTCAACCCGATGCCCACATATTCCCACAAGCAGGACATGACTGCAAAAGCACCTTCCCAACCATGGTCCCCAGCGACTGGTGTACAAAGGTATACTGCCTCTGATACTGGAAAATCTTATTACCTTCAAATCAGTGAACAACCTCAGTGAATTACTTTTTGAGAACTGGACTCCTGAATGAAGACCCTAAGACAGTGATGGCGAGCCTTTTAGAGACCAAGTGCCCAAACTGCAACTCAGAACCCCAAGTGCCAACACTGCAATCAAACCTAATTTTGCTGAGCACCAGTACAAGGGAGCAACGTTCCACTGACCACCAGCTTTTGGCTGGCCCTGAAAAAGGCATCTGAGTGCATTTTCAACCTTTCCTACCTTCTGCTAAAATCAGTCCAAGCAAATCCCTGGCAGCTCACCCACCAGCCATGCGAAAGCTCGGTGAGTCGTGGCTAATGAGCGAGGTCATTGCCTGGTGCCCCTAATCTTTCCGAATATGCACACGGCTGCTGGGGCGATTGCCAGAGAGGGCTCTGCATGCCCCTTTGGGCACGTGTGCCATAGGTTCGCCATCACTGCCCTAGGAATACCCCTGAAAACCACTCCTAGACAAAGTAGGCACCGCTGTGAACAATCTAGGATTGCTTGGACTTCGAGGGTGAGTATTCAAATCCCCATTTTATTCCAGCAGGTCGTACTGAGGAAGAAGAGACCGGGAGGCAGGGTCATTCCACAAGACCTGCAGAAAGGCTTGACTTTTAATGGTACTTATTCCGCTTCCCTTCCCATCCCCCTTTTTCTCGTGTGATATGTCTTTTTCATTTGCAAGCCTGTGATCAGGAACGGTCTTGTTTAGCTGACGGGAGTACTTTAAATATGTAATAAAACAAATGCATCTATTTAGACACAAACTACTCCTTCCCCAGAACCCCCCTGTCTATTCTGCGGCCATTTCCTGACAGATCTTTCAGGTGAGTGAGATCTCACCAGAACGCCTTGCCTGATAAGCCTGACCACCCCTCAGCACTAACCTGTTGATCTATCGCCTTCCTCAGAACCTGCTACAAATGGATTTTCTTCTTCTTCCTGCCAGGAGATGAGGTCGGATCTGGGAACCGAGAGCCCTTTCAAAGACAGAACGAAAAAGGAATTACTCCTGGCACTTCTTACGGGACAAACATTAAGGGATCTGAAACCACCCCTACTTCCTGACAGTCCATTAGAGGTCCAAGAAAGACAGGAAGATCTTGGCACTCCTGTATGTAGGAATTCAACTGGGGGGGGAATGGTTCCATGAATTTACTCTTGGAACACAAATTTTCAGAAGGTGTTTGCTGCTTGGCCACCGTGCTCTGAAACCACACTAAAAATAGAGACAATGTACTTCTTGGACACATCTTGTGAAAAGAGAGCCCCAGGGGGAGAGACGCAGCTTCTCAGAAAATCCTTGGAAGCCGAACTGGGAGTCTTCCTCCAAGGCTGAAGTGGCTCACGGAAGACCGCCGAGGAAACTTTGCTGAGGCTCCATGAACCTGCCAGCTCAGAAGACAAGGATGTGTTTCACTGCAACTGTTAGGATTTTATATTTCCATGCTGAGAGAGACGACCACATTTCTCTTGATAAACTGGAACACTGACCAGCCACGATTGTCCCTGGCAACACTCCCACAACGTACTGGTAGAAAGAATGGCAGCAGTGGGGGTCAAATCAAAGCAGAGCTTTCCCTAGAAGCAAAACTGACAAAACGGAGGCTGTCTTACTTCATTCAGGCACATCACAAGAAGGCAAGACTCCCTGGAGAAGGCCACGTGCCAGGGAACAGGCAAGCCAAAAGCAGGAGGAGAAAAGGAGGACCAAATATGAGAGGGATTGACTGTGTAAAGGAGGCCACAGGCTCAAATTCGGAAGCGCTGAGCATGGCTCTCACGAACAGGGCAGCTTGGAGGGCCTTCATTAATGCGATTGCAGAGGCTTGATGGCCCTTAATGACCACAAGCATGCTTGAAATTTGAAAATGACTAAAATAAGAAGAAAAAGGAAGATTGAACTTCAGCAAAAGAAATGCAACCAACAAGGAAATGGAGCTGTTTTGTGGCAAAGTTTTTAAGCAAGTCTTGGGCGCATCCACACTTGGATATTAATATTAATTAATATATTAATTAGAGTTATATCCCACTCTTTTCTTGCAAGGAATCCAAGGCAGCTTAAGTGACCCTTCCCTCCACTTTAGTCTTACAAGAACGCTTTAAGGCTGTCGCTCCAATATGTACCTACCTGACCCCTAAGACTGGATACGAAGGCCCTTCTGAGGGAGCCACCCTCCAAGGAGGTTAGGAGAATGGCAAACAGAGGAGGGGCCTTCTCGGCGGCTGTGCCCCATTTATGGAACAAGAGCAGCTTGCCTGGCACCTTACTTACAGTCTTTTCAGTGCCAGGCAAAACAATTTTATTCTCCAGATATTTTAATAATTGATTTTAATAATAATGTGTTAATTTTAAACTTGGAAATAAAGGTTGCTATGCTTTAGATTTTAACTTGCGCTGCTTTTAACTCTCTGGTTAAACGCTCAGCCATATACTGTATATTGGATTATACATTATTTTGTATACTAAAAACATATGATCTGGCCTGGGCAACTTCTTCTTCCTTCTCTTTCTCCTCCTATATTTTTATTTTATACTGATAATTTTAATTTTGTATTTGTAAATCAATGTATTTTTTGTATTGTTATATTTAATGGTAATTTATTATGTACTATTGTATTTCAATGTATTTTATCATGTTGTAAGCCGCCCCGAGGTTTCGGCAAGGGGCGGCATAGAAATGTTATAATAATAATAATAATAATAATAATACTATTGTTGTGGTTTGTGGTTGTTGGTGATGGTGGTTTGGGGTTGCTGGTGATGGTGGTGGTTGGTTTTGGTTGCTTTGTTAGGTTGTGTATATTGTTTTTGTCATTGTTTGTTTTTAAGAGTTCTGCAAATCTGCTTAAAGAGTCTTGCTGGGCTATTGGTTAAGCGGATTATAACTGGCCCGAGACGGTCACCACAGCCTTTCAACTGGCCCCCTATTCAAATCGTTTGAGGACCCCTGATATACACAGATCAGACACACACATGTACATACCCAAACAAGGTCTTGTGAAGTCATTAAAAACCCATCCTCATCAAATTACATTTATACCTTGCCTTTCTTCCTCTTGCAAGAAACTCAAGACAGCTTACAATGTTCCTTTCCTTTCCATTTCATCCCACAACAACCACCCTGTGAGGTAGGTTGGGCTGAGAGTGAGTGCCTGGGCCAACGTCACCCAGTGGGCTCCATGGCCAAATGGGAGATGAGAACCCAGCCCCCCTGAGTCCAGTGCCCTTTCCCCGACCCCACACTGGAATTAGAACCCAGCCCTCAGGCTGTGCTGCCCCCTGGGGTCCCTCTTGGGGCTTTGCTGTGTTCCTGCTGCTGGAAGCTGGAGGCTGACCCGGCGGTGTAGGGCTGATCTTGCTTCAGAAGGCAAAGGGGGAGCCTTACCCAATGTGGCCACGTCCCCGTGGCTCCACAGTTCTCTGCGGTTCCCTTCGGCCGAGCCCTCTGGCTGGGACCTAGCAGGGCCTCGTCTTCCGCCTGCTCTGTGAAATGCCGTGAAATGCACGGCCATCTCCTCGAAGGTCACCAGGCTCTGCAAGAAGCAGCGAACACGATGCGTTAGGGGCAGGGTCCCCGCAACAAAGCACCCACAGTGCCCCTGCCTTGCTCTGGTCCCCTAACTGCGGAACCTGTGGGCTGACCCATCTGCCCACTCTCTGGCCCCGCAAATGGTTCAGCCCGCAGGTTCTGCAGGTTTGGATTGCCCCGTAATTTGCCCTAATGCCGAGTCTTACTCAGCCACAAGCTGTCCTGAGATATTTATGTAAAGGACAGCACACAAAAGCTTTTAATAAATAATAATAATGGGTTTACGCTTTGGAATTCAGACCTGCCATTGCCACGTACCTAGCTCCTTCCCTTAGCTTCATTGGTTTGCCTTCTGGGAAATGGGCGCTTTATGCCTAGTGAGAGCCATCGTGGCAGCCATTTTGTGAGAGTGCCCACAGTGTCCAAAGCGCTAAGTACATCTACTGGTGCAAAAGGGCTGGGCTACAGAAAGTGAGCATGGAAGGCATGAAGGTGAGGCGCCCGAGTGTTTTTCCTGCAGGGAGCAGAGCCTTGTGGGCAGTGCTCAAAGCCTTCCTCATGGGCAGCGGCCGAAGAAGGAAACAGAGACACCCCCTTTCGGGCCCGGGGAGACGAGCAGGTAAAGAGGCACTCGGAGCAACCCTGGGCTCCCCGTACCTGTTCTGGCTGCACGGAAGCTGCTTCCATTCCACCACAGAGGGACGGTGGCCTAGAAGGCCCTCCAAGCACCATTTCACTATCTCCAAACGCTGTCCCATTTCCTAGGAAAAAGACAAAGGAAAGGTGGTTGATACCTCCCCACCCTTTTGCATTTGATTCCTTTAACAGCAGTTTTGAACTGCTCCTACTAAATAAATTCCTAAGTGATGTTCAAAGCAAGGCGATCTAAGGTTATATTCAAATCAATATATCAGCAAAGGTAGGCAGCCAGCCAGGTGTCTGCCACATTTTGCATTCCAACTTCCTGAATCCTTGACCTTGGCCATGCTTGCTGGGGCCCATGGGCATTGTGTTCCAAGCCATCTGGAAGGTTCCCAGTTGCCCACGCAGCACTGATGTTCTGAAAATGCCTGCTGGGTGATACAGTGGTGCCTCGGCTCACGAATGCCTCAGTTCCTGACCGAATTGGGCCGCGAACAAAAATGTCATAAAAATTTTGACTCGGGTTGCCAAGTCCGCATTGGGTGGTGACCGCGATCGCGGCCATCTCCCCCCCGCCCACCCCAAGTGGGGAGATGGCCATGCTCGTGCTGGGGGCGGGAGGGTGGGGAGATGGCCGAGATCGCGCCTGTCCTTTCTGCAGGAGAGCACCCACGTTCGCACCCATCTCTCCCCTGCCCGCCCCCCGCAGCATGCCAGGATGACGGGCACGTGCAGGGATGACAGGCGATCGTGGTCATGCTGGCGGGACAGGGCGATGGCCACGCTTGTGCTCGGGGGGGGGGGGGGGGGAGATGGCCACAATCTTTGTTGTTCTTTGTCACTTTGCTTCACAGTTTTCTGATTTAAAAAAAAATAGTTACAGAACGGATGAACCTTATCTACATTGAACCTTAGGGGGAAATTGAACTTGGCTCACGACCGATTTGGGTCACGAGCAGAGTCCCGGAAGGGATTAAGTTTGTGAGCCAAGGTACCCCTGTATTTATTAACATCGGCCCTGCAAACCCAGAGTGATGGCACCTGCTCTGCGGGAAGCCTGGCTTCTGCATGGCGTGGGCTGCGCTGGGGACTGGCCTGCGAGCGGCAGTTGGTGCTGAATGCCCGGCAGGGCTGGTAAGGGGAGCTGCGTCCCCCTGCGGCCACACCTGGGCCAGGAGAGCTATGCCGGTGCCCCTGTGCTCCTGGGCCAGACTTTGGGACCGGATGACGGGGCCCTAAGCAAGGCAGGAGCAGAACGTTTCAGCGCCCGCCTGGGACCTGCCAGCCTTGCTCAGCAGCTGCTCCGGTCAGGAGTTAAGGGCCTGCGGGGCTGCCAGTCTCAGAGGACTCGGCCCCGAGGGCTGGCCGTGCTTTCAGCCCAGTCTCAAGGGTTGCCCATTTTTGTTCCTCTTCCACACAGCTCTTGGGCAGCATGCGAAGTACTGGTCTAGAGGTACGTCAAGCCTTCACTGACCTGGAAACCTCCAGTTATTTTGGACGCTGCTTTCCATCAGCCCCAACCAACGTGCTGAGCACTGCAGTTCAAATCACTGGAGGGAGGTGGCACCAGGCTGGGGAACTGATGGTCACCAATTCGGATGGCTTTAAAAGTGGCATGCACAAAATCATGGAGAAGAGGAAGACTATCAGAGGTTACTAGTCCTCATGACTGTGTGGCACCTCTGGTTTCAGAATAGCATGAGCATGTGTTGCTGGGGAACATGGGCTCCTTCAGAGCAGCTGCTTGGCCACTCTGCAAGCACAATGCCGGATTCTTGGCATGACTGAACATTTAGGAAGGCTGCCACAATCTATTGAAACAAACCTCTTTCTTTTAAAAGCAAACTTGTTAAGAGAACCTCCAGAGTTTCCTCCACTCGGCACGAGCCTCACAGCAGGTCTACTCGAGAGAGGGGGTCAGGGGGTCTCAAGGTGTCCTTACCCACGGTGATGACACCCCCATCGCCGCCCTGTAGGCTGTCCCTCAGCAGCAGCCTCCGTGTGGGGTCCGGGGAAGTTTCTTCAGCCTCAGAGAAATCGGCGACCACTCCCACCGGCTCCTGCACGTGCGACAGAAACAGAGAGCCAAGGGGGGAAGGAGGACTGAGGATTAGCACAGGAAAGCGTGGGGCAGGCAAGGGGGGGCGATGCATCCATTTCTCTGCATTACCTTCTAAGACTATTCTACCTTCCCTGACGTTTCTTGGGCAGAGATGCTCAGAAACCCATGTGGACTGCAGCCGGTCCTCCAGAAAACGGCTCAAACGGGGCACCTCAAACTCCCTCCCTGTGTAAACACTGGAAGCTCAGGAGCTTCCAGTGTTTACACAGCGGCTTGGGTGCCTTCGAATGCGAACCCTGTTCTGCCGGCTGGGGAAAGAGCTCCTCATCAAGGGAGCGCCAGGAACCCCTTCAAGAGCCTTGTGACCCCACAAGGAAGTCGTGAGTGGGTGGGGGGGGGAGCGGCACTCCAGACCTTAAGGGAGTCAGAAGTTCATCCCCTTTTCCTTGCCCCACTGCCTTTCCCCCAAACAGTAACCCCTGGGTGATTCCCTGGCTTTCAGCATTTTAAAATGCCTTCGCTGAGATGTATTTGCCGGCAGTGACACTTCTACAACATGCCGGCAGTGCTGAAGTTTTGGCCCTTCCCTAACTGGAATTTTTCGGTGGGCTGGGACATCCCTATCCTGGGTGACACCTGGAAAATAAGGCAAGACTGCTGGGTATTTTCAGGTCGCTCCATATACGCTCAGCCCTCTGGAGCCACCTGGGTAAAAATCCGTCTCTCTCACCTGCCCCTCTGCCTGCTTCTTGGCCTGCGCCTGATTCAGGAGGAATCCCTCTGCCAGGGCCACCGCCTGGGAGCTGGTCTCCGGCACGCATCCTCTGACCCACTGCTCCATCTTCGGAGGCAGGACGGTCAGGAACTGCTCCAGGATCACCAGGTCGAGGATCTGAGCTTTGGTGTGCCTTTCTGGCTTCAGCCACTGATGGCAAAGGTCGTGGAGCCGGCTGCAAACTGCTCGGGGCCCCTCAGCCTCCTGGTAGACATACTCCCGGAAGCGCTGGCGCTGGACGTCCGTGCTAGGCTTGTCCTCATCCAGGACCTTCTGCACTGACTTTTCCCAGCTCTCCCTGCTCTTCTCAGCAAGCAGGCCTGCCACATCTTGCTCTTCCGCCTTGGCTGTCTGGGGAACCTCAGCATCCAGCAGAACCCGCAGGATCTCCTTGCTCTGCTGCCAGCTTCTTTCTGGAGGCGAGGACTTGCCAGATTTGGGGTGAAGGGGAGACCACATCTTGCAAAGGTCTTGAGTCCTCTTCTCTGGACCAATTATGTGACCTCAGCAGGAAGATGGCAGTGTACAAAGTACCCGATGATTCCGGGTTACAGCTGCAGCTCGTCCCTGCAGGGAAGGCAAGCGAACAGAAGGATTTAGTGGGACACTGAAGAAAATACAACTACTAGTGCAATAGCACATTTGTATGGAACAACCATGCTAAAAATATTGCATACATTCTGAAAAAGAATATTGCAGAGCCAGAAAAAGTGCAGAAGAGAGAACGTGAATGATCAAGGGGCTGGGGCAAGTCCCCTGCGAGGGAAGATTGTAAAGCTGCGGTTGTTGAGATTAGAAAATGGCGAGTTTGAGGATACATGGCAGGATTATGGTGCGGAGAAAGTGGAGAGGACACTTCCCCCTTGCTCTTTCATAATACGAGAACCGAAACGAGGCATCCCATGAAGCTGATTGGTGGGAGATTCAGGACAGATGAGAGAAAGAAGGGCTTCGTCCCGTAGCACAATTAAACTATGGGATTCACTTCCATGCGATATAGTGAGGGCTATGAACTGGGATGGTTTTTGAAAGAGACTGGACAAATTTCTGGAGAAGAGTGTAGTTCAGATGGCAGAGGCAAGATGCCTACCTCCGCCAGTTGCTGGGGAACATGGGTGGGAGGGTGCCGCTGACGGGTCTCTCTGGCTGGTCGGGATGTGGACAAAATGCCAGGAGAGATGGGCCCTTGGATGGCTCCCCTTATGGTCCTCTGTGGGGGCACAGGCCCACACTTCCTCCTTGCTTACGATCAGGCGAGAGGATATGGCATGCCTTCCCCAACCGGATGCTCTCCAGACGTGCTGGAATGCAGCACAGCTGGAGGGGAATTCTGGGGCTGCCGTCCAACGCATACGGAGGAAGGCCGAGAACGGCCCAGCTTGCCCTTTTGCAAAAAGTCATTCCTAATGAACAACTTGAGAGAAGTACACCTGGCAGGGTTTCCCGCCTGTTCCGGAACCTGACGCCAATCCGCCGTTCGAAGGGCAAGAACCAAGAATTGCTCCCTGCTTCCTCATCCTCTGCCCGTAGATTTTATTTTATTATTTATTTATTAAGACATTTTTATGCCGCCCCATTCGCCGAAGCCTCGGGGCGGCTTACAACACTCTTTCTCCTTCATGCGCTCCCAGCCCCTAGCCTCTCTGCTTCTCTGTTCCAACCACTTTCCTCACCCCCCCCTCCCATCCCCATCCTTTTCCCTCCTTTCCCTTCCTGGCTCCCACCTTTATCTTTCCCCCCCCCCCCCACCCCAGACATCCCTTGCCCGTCCTCCAGCCTTGCTAGTTCTCCTCTACCCTGTTTTTGCCTCTGGTTCTCTGCCCGCTAGCCTCACGCTCTCTCTCTCTCTCCTCTACCCATCTGCTGGCTGCTCCCCCCTCCCCCCCAGCCCCTCGCCTCTTCCCACGAGCCATCCCACCTGGCTGCCATTGTCTGACCAGCCACCGTCTCCGTGGGAGCTACCTTGCGCGGATGCCCACTGCAGAACCTCAAATTCCCAGTGCTCATTTGCCCACAAGGGTTGGGGATCCACGACCCCCAGAAAACCTTCTACCCAGGGCTTGCTCTCCTCGTGCCCTCCTGGCCACCACTACAGGGTCCACTCTGGCAATCTATCTGTCAGATCATGTCTCTATTTGTATTACAAATGTGAACTGGTTTGAAACGATTTCAGTGCCACTGTAGTCACAATCCAATTTGATTTATTATTCATTCATTCATTTAAATATCCTCCCCCTTTTCCTTTCAGTGAATGCAAGGCAGTTTGCAAAATCCTCCTTCTCATCATCTTATCCTCAAAACTGGGAGGATAAGATGATGAGATAAGATGATGATAAGAGGATAAGATGATGATAAGATGATTTTATCTGGCCAGGGCGACTTCTTTTATATTGTTAGTTATTTTATATTGTTAATTTTATATTGTTATTTTTGTATTTTATTGTATTTTATTTTATGCTGTGAGCCACCCCGAGGCTTCGGCAAGGGGCGGCATAGAAATGTTTTAATTAATAAATAAATAAAACAACAACCCTGCAAGGTAGGTTGGGATGAGTGTGAGCGCCTTGGCTGAGTGGGGAACAGAACGCAGATCTCTGGAGTCCCAGTCCTGCACTCGTAACCACTACACCAAACTTTTATGTCCCAACTGATTTGATTGTATTAACCTGGTGTAAACAGCAAGAAACTTGTCGAAATCAGTGTGCATCAACTGCCTTTGAACTGCTTCATTAAGTCTCATGCGGACTTTAGGTTGCCAAGTCTGTTCCGCTTCCTTCAACCCAGCCCTCCGGAGGTGCTGGGACTGTCTGTTTTTTGTCTCTTTAGACTGCCTCTCTGAAACCAACCAAAGTGGCTCACACACATTTCAAAACATACAACCCACAATGAAATTAAAAGCATAACAAGCATTAAGAAGGCCAAGTTCTCCTGAATGCAGAGAGAGTCAGGGCTTGGCCAGAGGGAGACTGTCCCATTTTAGGGGCAACAGAGAAGTAGCCCTTTTCCTGAACTAGTTCTCACAGGTGCTCCTCTTGCTGCTCTTAATCATGAAACTGGTTCAGCCTGAGATTGGTGGTTCCTTTCAGGGCCGGGTCCAAAGCACTAAGGGTACAATTCTGTGCAAGTGTAGACAGAAAAAGGTCTGTAATTTCTAGCATAGCTGGCTGGAGCACACCTGGAGTTGTAAGGCTTCTTCTGTGCCTTTTGACCGTAAAGATGAAAAACAACTCTCGAAGTCAGTCTGGAAAACTATTTTCTCTGCTCTCAGGTGCTCAGTAGCATAGAGCCAATATGGGATAGCGATTAGAGTGTTGAACAGGGACTCAAGCAATCTGGATTCTAATCCCTGCTCAGTCATGGAGCTCACTGGGTGACTTTGGGCCAAGTCACAGACTCTCAGCCCAACCTACCTCACAGGGTTGTTGTTGTGGGATAAAATGGAAAGGAAAGGAACATTGTAAGCTGTCTTTTGTTCCTTGCCAGAGGAAGAAAGGCAAGGTATAAATGTAATTGGATGAGGATGAGCTTTTAATGAAGTCACAAGACCTTGTTTGGATATGCACATGTGTGTGTCTCAAACTTTTGGAATAGGGGGCCAGTTGAAAGCCTGTGGCGACCGTCAGGGGCCAGTGAGGTGGGGTTGCCTGGGGGCGCGGGCCGGTGAGGTGCCGTCGGGCATGCGCGAGGCGGCATCGGGCACGTGTGGCGGTGGCTCGCTCGCTCGCTCGGAGATCTCCCAGCGAGTCCAAACCCATCTCCGAGCAAGCGAGCCACCACCTCCCTGCCCATGCTGCAAGGCAGCGGTGAGCGCGCGCATATGGGAGGCAGGTGGCGACTTGCCCGCTCGGAGACCGTCTCCAAGCGAGCGAGCCACCACCTCCCCGCCCGCACAGCAAGCATGCGCGCAGGTGGCCAACAGCGGCATGGGCCGGATGGCTGGCCATGGGCGGGGGCCATTTCCATCCCATGGGCCGTAGTTTGAGGACCCATGATGTATAGGTTTGTAGCTAAACTGTTTTTATATTACGCAAATTAATTTTGGTCTTTGTGAACTGCCCAGAGAGGTTCGGCTATCGGTAATATAGAAATGTAGTAAATGAAGCATAATTTACAATTAGATTTATATCCTTCCTTTTTTCATACAAAGAAGTCAAAGCGGCTTACAACCTCCTCCTCCTGCTTTCTCTCTATCTTATCCGCACAACAACAACACTGTGAGGTAGGCTGGACTGAGAGTCTGTGCCTGCCTCAAAGTCTGCCAGTTGGCTCCATGGCTGAGCGGGGACTCGAACCCGGATCGCCCGAGTCCCAATCCTGCCCTCTTAACCACTACTCTGCATTGGCTCTCAGCAGATTAATCCATCTTGGGCTGGTATGATCACAACAGAGTGCAGCAGTTAGCAGCCCGTTTGCCACATTTTGCAAGATTTGAAGCTTCTGGACAACTCTACAAGGGTAGCCCTTCCAGCAGTGTAACCACAATTTAATCAAGGCATGGATTTTACACACACACACACACACACACACACACACACAGACACACACACAGACACACACACTATTTCTATGCCGTCCTGTCGTGAAAGCCTCAGGACGGATCACATAGATAAAATACAATAAAATATAACATAGATAAAATGATGGATGAAGGTTGCCAAAACGGACTCATTCAGGAAAGGTTGCAGTAGTGAAATCAAATGTCATTTCAATAGACTTGCTCCACAGCAGTGTTGTCACCTGAAAGTGTAGGATCGAGGAGCACATCCAAGCTATAAACCAGAACCTACAGGGGGAACTCTACCCCATTCCTAAATGGGTCAAATCTTAGTTCCAAATCAGTCAACGGTACCCTTGTTTTGTCTGAGATTCAGCCTCAGTTTAAGTTTGAATTTAAGCCTCATTCAGCCCAGCACTGAGCTTTGGTGACCGTTTCCTTGGTGTCAAGTCACAAAGTACAGTAGGAATTAATGGCATCAGCATATTAACAGAATAATAACTGGTGCCTGGCCGAGGTAATGGGCTGGATGAGGGCCAATAAACTGAGACTCAATCCAGATAAGACAGAGGTCCTGTTAGTGG